TGATACTTTTTTGACCAGATCTTGTATACTTATTTTATGGCGACCTCAGTACAAATCTTTTTATTTTCTATGATGTTCTTTGCATCTATATTTCAGTCAATTGCTATTACTCCCCAGTATTTATTTCAAAGCTTTGATTTCTTTGAGAATATTAATGCAACAAATGAATAGTGCATAATTCATGGTTTGCAAGTGAGTCTATTTAGAGAATGCAAAAATACCAAATAACTAAGACTTTGACTTGGAACTGAAGAAATGATTTTAAATTATGATAACCAACCTTTGGCACATTTTGTAGTAATGCTTTTTAGAAATATCCAAATCTATACTTTCATGTATCCTGTCCTCTTGCCACTTATTTTCATTGTCTTGTCCCTAGGATATTTGAAGGGAGAAAGAGAATGACCTTCAGCAAGCTTCTTTTATAAGCTAATCTTCCAGTGAAGTCTTATTTCTCATGATACAGATCAAGGTTATCTTTAGAAATATGTGACGGTTAAGATAATTTGGTAAAACCATATGTGTTCAGGCCCTTTATTCGGTGAAAGACAATGAATAATCAAAAGTAAGTCTGAACATGGAAGATAATAGGCTGAAGATTTCAATTCTGAAGTGATTGATGACAAAAGCAATTAATCTTTTCCTCCCATCTGTTATATCATACATATATATGTATGTGTGTCGAACCGATTCCCAACAGGATGATTTCCTGATCACGATAATCTTAACCTCTTCAAGGCTAGGGTTAACTGTTATCTTCCAGTAATGTACACAAAAATGGCCTCATAACATAACCCTCTACCTTGAGTGGGACCCAGACCTTATAAAGGGTGAACCTTACTGTAAAAAAATGTACTTGGGTTAACAAAAACTATGGTGCCTTCCTTGATAAATTTCATCTTAACATCAAGAAACTGATTAGACAACTCCAAAGAATCTGTATAAAAATAAGAAGACACAATATATCTATATTATTCAATGAAACATATTTGAATGAAGATGTTGCTTTTATATATATATATATATATATATATATATATATATATATATATATATATATATAGTCTGTGTTATTGGTCCTGACATTTCTGCTTCAGTTCCTTGCCACTGCTATAATGTCACCTCCATGTACCTTTCTGTAAATATTTTCCTAGTAATTCTTCAGATTATTTTTTCTTTTCGGTATCTCAATTTTAGGAATTTGAGCACAGTACTCGATTGACAGCTAGGTCATATATATATATATATATATATATATATATATTTGTGTTAACAGTTTGTACTTCTTGCTTGTGTACCTCTGCTCTAACTTCTTGTTTTCCTATCAACTATGATCTTCAAAAATTTAAATACTATGTTACTTATCAACTTCTGTCTCCTTGAATCCTGTTTTTTTTATTGTATTCTCTCCTCAATAACATTTTTCTCAGATTCTTTCACTCTTAGTAACCCCTTACATCTTAGTAACTTTATTGCCTTGCTTGGGGTGAAATGATTAAAAAAAGATACATCCACTTTATGCAGGATACTAATTTCATTGGCTGAAAAACATTCCCATAGTATAATGCTTGATCTTCATCCTCTGAAAAAGAATCATCATCACTGAAATACAATTAATGAGAGTCACCTGACATCTTTCCATCACAAGATTAAACTTGATTCACTGCCTCATAAACTACTTTAGTAATTTTCAGTTGCTTTGTTCACTATAAATCAGTGGTATTTAACTAACAATAAATTTTAGGAATTGAAAAAAACTTGATGCATGATGTGGATAAATGCCTAAAAACGCATAGTAGGGATGGAAGAATTTATGTCTAGAATCTTATTTTTGCCATGTAAAAAAAGGTTCTGGATACAAATTCTTGGCATACAGTGTATACTCGTGTATAAGCTGACTTCATGTCTTGTGCAACCCCTGAATTTTTTGGTATGAAAAAAATTATTTCAAGAATAATTAGGATAATCTGTTCAGGGTTTCTTCTTTTTTGTGTGCTATGTCCCTTCAGGATGTAAGCAATCATGGTCCTACACATCTCCCTATCACTTATAGTTCTCAATATGTCTTGTCCTTTTGCTACTTCTCCCAAATCCTCTTCTGTCATCCACTTGCTTAAGCCCACTAAGTATGTCACACATTGCTTTCCCTTGTCTCTCTTTCCCTCTATTCAATCTATGAGTATCAGATTCTCTAAGCTCTCCTATCTCATTACATGTCCCAGAAATTTCAGCTGCCTCTTGCTGATGTTAAGCATAAGCTTCCTCCTTGTTTGCATCCTCTCAAAAACATCATGATTGCTTACATGTTCAGTCCATGATATCCTTAGCATCCTTCTGTTTCGAGTTCCTTCTTCATCTTTGAGGAGACTGTCCCTCATTCACTGCCATAAAGGGGGACAGATATCATGTTGCAGTTCAGTATTCTTTTCTTTGTTACCAACAAAATTCTTCTGTCTCATAATACTCTGTCTAGCTTTTGGAATGCAACTTTGGTCATCCCAATACATCTTTGGATCTAAACATCGCACATACTGTCCTCTGTCAAAACACTTTCCAGATATTTAAATTTCCACACCTGCTTTAGTATCCTCAACCTGTAAATTGCATTTTAGGCTTATCTTTTTACTGATGACCATGCATTCTGTCTTCTTGTTGTTTGAGGTTCGTCCCTTCTTGTCACTCTCCTTTGCTATCTTCCGTAGGAGGTTTTGTAATTTTCTTTCCATGCCTGCTATCAGCACTGTGTCATCTGCATATCTTACATTGTTAAGATTGTGGCTACCAATGATGAATCCTGGTAGGATTTCCAGTTCTCTAAGCATTGCTTTGCTGTATAGGTTGAATAAGTCCAGTGAGAAGACACATCCTTGCCTTACACCCCTTTCTATTTTTGTATATCCGCTGAACTCATTTTTTATCCATATGCATGCCGTTTGCTGTCAGTTGGAGTTTTTGATTATTCTAATGTCTTTCCCAAATATATCAAGGTTGCTGAGCAGTTCCAACAGATCTTTGTGGTGTACAAACGATTTTTAGTCTATAAAATATAGGTGTACTTCTGCATTTGTATTGCTCTTTCTGATAACATTCTGAGCATGAATATCACGTTTCCTTGTTCCAGTATCTTTAACAAACCATCACTGTTTTTGTCATATCTCTGGCCTGATTCTGCTTCATGCTCTATTTGGTAGAATTTGGATGATGAGTTATGTTATGTGGCTCATTGATTGTTTGGTGGAGTTCACATTTGTTTGTGCCTGGTTTCTTAGGCAGTGCTATGAAAATAGATCTGCTGAGATCTTCCATACCTCAAAATGGTTGTGTTCTTAAATTGTTCCAAGGGCAGATTACTCTCCTTTTTAAGCAGCTAAAAAAGAAACTGATCTGAAGTTGTCTGAGATAAATTTCTCCATTCATGTTTGGAGCTGTTTCAATCAGTTGTCTTTGGCACTGATAGTATTTATTGTTTTTTGACTGAGAGGACGTAAAGATATATAAATAAGTTGAATTGAAAAGACAAATTTTTTGAAGAAGAGAGTTTTTAGATACCTGATGTTTTATTCAGATTTAAATTGCATTTTACTCATATTTCCCAAAGTCAGTAATCTTCAAATAGCATTTTTTTTTCTTTGTTAAACTTTCATGACAATCTTTTATATTCTGATAAAAAGTACATCTTTCAAATTATATAGCTATCAGTTACCTGAAGATCATGCAGGTAAAAGAAACTTGCCTAAGGTAAAGCATTAGAAATTATTAATCCTTTTTTGTAAGAATAGAGTTATATTTGCTATCTGTAGTTGGTTTTGAGTTTAAAGTTTACATTAGAATTGAATATTTTCAAAAAGCAGTAAGCATTTTAGCTATAGGCAAAGTAAATTATAAAGAAATTCTTGGAAGAGTCCAAATTGTCTTTACTTAACTGTAACAACAGAGATGTTATGTCTTCCTTTTTTTATTGGATTTGTTTTGTCTGACTTCTCCATATTGCATTGTTTAAATTAGTTTTGCAAGAGTAAGCTGTGCCAAAATTTGAGTCTGCTGAAGGGCCTATTAAATTTAATTTGACTTCATAAGGAAAATTTGTATCAAGTCACTCCAGGCTCTAGGATATTTTCAAATGTAAGCAAAATTATTCTTACAAAAGTCACTTATTTCATGCATATCTACATATATAGCCTTAAAAGCATACACCCCTAAGTAGATATGTGTATGACTTCAGTAAACAAATTATACATACATATATATATATATATATATATATATATATATATATATATATATATATATATATATATACACACATATATATTATATATATGACATATAAAAGGAAAATTTTTAGATGCAAAGACGTATATTGAAACTTAGCATATAACATCTAAACATACTTGAAAGGATAATGATATGGAATATATACATTATATTGCTAATTATATATTTCTCTATATATGTATAAAAAAAATAATTAACATTTACATAAATTGAAAATATATAGGTATATGTTTGTATAAAATGAATAAAATCTGGTTCCAATAAAACAATTTTCTTTTAAAATTAAATGAAATAAACTTAATTGTTGGGATTTAAAACTGGAAAAAGTCACAGGCATTATAATTTCATCAGATGTCAATTGATTATATAAATACTTACAAAATAAAACAAAGATAAATTTTATATATATATATATATATATATACATATGTATTTGAGTAGACACTCCATTTTTTTACTCGAGAAAACAATAAAAAAAAATTTGTACCCTGTTGCAGGATTTGAACCTGCAGCCACCTTTGCAGGAGGGATCGCCATCTGTTTCAGTATTCTTTGACTACTTGTCTCTAGAGAGTTTCACTGTTAAACAAACATTGATTTGCCTTTAAGGCACATTCACTTATTTAGATTTTCTTGAAACGCATATCTGCTCAGTTTTGTAACTGAAACAAAGCAATTTCTTCAGAATTTTCTTCATTAAGTTTTCTCATGTGTGCAGATCAAAGCTTACAGCTCTTAGTATTCCAAAGTGGTCACCCATCTAAGTACTGATCAGAATCGTCATTGCTTAACCAGTGATCAGATGAGAACTGGTGTTCCAACATCATATGGCAGTAAGCCTTTCAGAGTTAGAAATATTCTTTTTTGGTCCTGCCAGAAATTTTGCTGGGAGAACTCTACTCCAACATTGACTGTGTTGTATAACACTTGTAATAATTTGTAATGACAGTTTTTTTTCAGCTGCTGCTGAGAGACAAATCTAGAATCTTGTCAATTTTTATGATACCAATCTTTGGGGGGGGGGCTTTTTAATAACATTGTCTCTGATTTATATTGGCAGGTTACCATTAACCATTTTAGTATAATTTTACTTCAAGAATTATAAGCTAACTATACAAATCACACTGAAATGAAGTTTGTTATGAAGCCATTTTTGAGTAAAAATAATTTTAAAAATAAGCACAAAGTTATTTTCACTATTTGCATTGTTTGGACTGTTGTCCGCATCTTTATTGCCATACACCAGCCTTCTTCAGGTGATATACATTAGAATTTTGAATTAAACCCCTTATTTAGTCCACCGGAGTAGATGGTTCTAGTTCCACCAGCCGCACCTCTTCCGGATATTTCAGTTTCAGTTATATCCCTTTAGTAACTCAACTCTCCAAGTTTTTGTTTAACTCTGCCGAGGCTAAATATTGAACTCACAACTCTTTAAATCAAGTCACTGGATTACTTCAACACACATTTTATCCACTGGACCATGTGTTCTTGGAGATATATATCGTATAACACCTGAAGAAGGCAGGAGCATACAAGAGCCGAAGTGTGGTAAATATGACAATAAAGATGAGGACAATAATCCGAACAATGTAGATAGTGTAAATAGTTAGAATAATCACAGAAATATAGACTGATGATAAATAAACACTATTTTAAAAAAAAAAATGGAGACTCTACTCAAATACAGGTATCCACTAAAAATAATGTTTGAAGTAATAAACACGTCGAATTAAAATATAAAACCCATTATATATATATATATATATAGTTAGTTAGTTAGTTATATGTCTGAATATCGAATGAAAAATTCATAAACTAACCAAGATATAAATGTCAGTAGACACACCAGTTGGTAGCATAAAAGACATTTAAGTGTACCAACTGATGTATTTACTTACATTTATATCATTTTCAGTTGAGCCCTGTATATCTCACATTTATATTATAAGTCTTTAACAAATGCACACATGAAATTGATAGCAAATATAAGCCAAAACCTATAGCAGATAATCAAATGAAAATTATACAAGTTTTTCTCTACTTTTTATTAGTTACAATTATTTTATTATAGTTATTAATATAATTTATCATAAAACTATACATAATTTGATTTTAGTTCTGCTGTCAAGTTGATAATCTATTTGAAGACTAATTCTGACCACTTTGAATATGGAATTTTTTTTTCTACTCATCACAATGTCTGTCTGATATCTTTTGTAAATCTTCCTACTTTAAATTTATTCCAGTGAAATATTTTTTGTTAAAACTGTTTTGTCTTTTGTCTCTTCAAATCTGTAATGTTGTTTAAAGTTTATTTCTGTGAGCTGTGGCAGGATTTCAATCAAGATATCCTGAAACGTGTAGGGTGCTAACTAGGGTATGTATCATTCAAAATTGCTGTACAATATTTTTTCATGTACAGTCTTTATACCATGTTTACTATTTATTTTTGTTTGTTTATTTATTTATTTTTTTTACCAAATGTTCTTTTGGTGGTACACACAGACACACACCTACACATACATACATATGTACATATATATGTATATATCTATATATAAATATGTATGTATATGTGGGTGGGTATCTACATGTAGCTTGTTTCAGTGGATTCATGTTTGTATCTGTGTATTAGTCAAATCATGCCAAAGTAACTCTCGGAAGAATTTCGAATTCTCTTTCATCATTTCCCCTGGACATTTTTTCTTTTTCTTTTTCTCAGCTTTTTTTTTTTACTTTTACTTACTTTATTTGGTTGCAGTTTTTTGGGTTTTCTCATTTGGGTTCTTACCCGTACCTGGTAAATCTTCCCTCATTAATAAGTTAGTAGATTTTGACAATACCAATCTGCTGAACTTATTCTGCTTTCTGTGTTAGGTTGCTGATAACTTCCGGGTGGGTGTTCATTGGTTTATTTAGAAATTTTTTCCTTTTTTTTTTTTTTTTTTTTCTTTTTTTTTTTTTTTTTTAAAGTACATTGTTATTATTCATTTTTAATGTTTTATACAACTGCCACATGACTATTTCATTTATAATTACCTTATCATTATCAAGAATTTAATGTTGGGTGTCTTTTGTTTCTTGTTTTGTTTTGTTTTTTCTTTTTTTGTTATTTTTTTTTGTGTGTGTGTCTTTGCTTTCAAAATCTTCTGCTTGTCTAGTTGTGTGTTGTTTTTATTGTTATTTACCAAAATATGTCTTGTAGAGTGTTGATGTTTGACTGTCCAACTTGGGTTGAATCATTCCAAGAACTCAGTTTTCTTTATCTGTCATCTTCTACAGGAGGTCTTAACACATTTTTTTTTTTTTTTTTTTTTTAACACAACAGGTGACAAGGAGGAAATTTTAAGTTTTTTTTCTTTTTATTTTTACTTTAATTTTCTTTCAAAGATCTGATCTGAAGCAAAAAAAAAAACACAAAAAAACACAAACATCATTCAGGAAAGAGTAGAAATGATGTCACTCTTTACCTGGTCCATATTTGCTTATCAGCAGAACAGTGTTCAAATCATGGCATCAGTATATTTTTTTTCTTATTATTTTACACTGGAATGAGCATGATATTAAAGTACAGTAGCAGTTAGATTACAAAAGAAATACATAACCAATAATTAAATATGTTAATAATTTTAATATACACGTTATGAATATAAATAGGTTTTAATGAAGAAAGAAAAATTAACCTGCATATCATAATAACTTTATTTCCTATAAATATTGCATTTAATTGGTTAAGCCACCTTTTTATTCACTTTAATATTTTAACTGAATGAAATTTTGAAAATTTTCATATAGATTCAAGAAGATACATTAAAACCCAAAATGCATAGCCTTGTGTTAAACTTTAATGAAGTAAATATCTAAAATCAATGATTTAACATTTAAGCAAAAAACTGTTTTAAATAATAATAATAAACTAATTTTTGTTCATATTTAAATAATATATCTGGTAGATGTTTTGACAGAAGAAAATCAGGAAATAGTAAAGATTTAAGTTAAATATGACATGCAAATGGATTCCTTTTTTCCTAAATAAAAAATTATGTTAAAAAGTGCCTAAGCATAAAATTTTTGTAACAAAAAACAAAAAAAAAAAGAAATCAAATTCCTTAACTATTGTAAAAGATAGAAAATGCAATCATCAAATTCAAGTTATTTGATTGAATCAATTAATTAATTGTAAACATCTTTATCATATTTTGTTGAATATATTTTCTTTTGCTACACCATATTTATGTTTCTTTCATTTTGTCTTTTTAAAATCTTATAATCTGAATATGTATTCGATATTATTGTCATGATGTCATGTTACTACTGTATGTTTTTCAGAATATAAGAAGGTGCAGTATGGTGCTTGGTCTAAACAGTTTGACTTCACTAAGTTTCTGTTTTTTTATACTGACGACATGGTAACACACAATGGACAAAGATCTTTTTTCAAACCTTGATTTCCAAGAAAAAAGCTTCAAGATTATATTTTTTGTTTCAAAGCAAAATTTACTATAAATAAGCAAATAATAATATAAAGTAAATATTAAGAGAGTTTCTATGTCCATTTCTAAAGTGGTAATTATAAAACTGGTGTTAAGTGATAGCAAAATTATCTTTAATTTTGGCAACATTACTCTTATCAGAATTCAAATATTTTCATAGGATGTTTTGTGTATCTATGTTTGTGTGTGGGCACATATATATGTCTGTGTATATATATATATATATATATATATATATATATATATCAGACACAAATAAGTTTATCTGTAAAAAGGCAATATAAAAACTCATAGACAATGATTTCCATCCTCTGATGGACTTTAAAAAGACAAACAAGATGAGTTTTCTTTTTATCTTTATGCACATATATATATATATATTTATATATATGTGTGTGTTTATATGTGTGTTTATATATATATATGTGTTTTGTGTATGTTTTTATATATATATATATATGTATATATATATATATATTTTGTGTGTATGTGTGTATATATATATATATATATATATATATATATATATACACACAGATGTATGTCTGTGTATCTATATGTGTGTTTATATATATGTATGTATGTATGTATGTGCATGTGTGTGAGTATATATATTTATATATACCAGGTGTTTCAAAAGTCTGTGTCACTTAATAAGTGTTGAGGATATCAAAACACAATTTATATTTCCTGAAAGCTAATATTTGCCCATTTCTATACAGCTTTTTACATGTGTTCAATGTGAGCACCACGTGTTACAAGACATGCATCGAAACGATAATCTAATTCTTGCCAAAAGCGACCAAGCATATTGTTGTCGATGGTTGACAAGGCTTCAATTTGTTACATATTTCTTTGACATGGCACTGAACACGTTTACCTTAGAGGAATCTGGCACATACTCAAGATTTACATGAGGGTACTCAGTTCCCCATATGCATGTGCTATAGTTGTTAACTTTACCACTTGCATGGAAGGTCGCCTCATCGCTAAAAACAAATCTGTCTTCTTCCAACCTCTGTAGCATTTCTGTGCAAATTTCATTGCGAGGGTTAATTAAATTAAAATTAACAGAAGAAAACTTGACACTTTTAGCTTTTAAATGGTACCAATTCAATCATGCTACCATCTGTAGTTCATGATATAAGAGTTCTTAGAATGTGACACAGACTTTTGAAACACCCTGAATATGCGTGTGTATGTATGTATGTATATATGTATGTATATATGTGTGTGTATATATATATATATATATATATATATATATATATATATATATATATGTGTGTGTGTATGTATGTATTCAAAGACAGACTGTTTCGCTGTATCACTTCTC